TGACATAAGTTGTAAAAATGCGCACGTGAGGTGGTGACACACTTGGACTCACGAGTGTGTGACCTACGACGGGTAGCGCGGCTAAGGGACGCAACTCTTTTGGCTACTCTGTTGTGTGCATCTCATTTGCGTATCCTAATGTTCCAAATAAATTGTACCCACCTCACTCAAACGCAATTGGGTATTTTGCCATATTCCATTAATTGTAAAAATATATTAAAGTTTAAATGTTGGTTTGCGTGTTTGTTATTTATATTTGATCTGTTATATGAGAAAGGATAAGAAAGACTGCAAGTTGCCAAGTTCAGGTGCTGAAATAGAAACTCTCAATATACCACATATATTTTATCTATTTTGGTTTGTACACATGTAATATCAAATCTACTGTGTATTTACAAAAATGAAGCGTACTTGTACGCAATAGACTTAATAGGAATTGAGTTTTCACATAACTATTTGCGTAATTTACGCAGATACGCAGCTTATCTCTACCTCTGACTAGGCTATCACTTGTTGTAAGTGGCGACTCAGGTGATTGGTTGGTCACGGTCGCTAACTTATAATTAGTTGTCAGATGTCATCCCAAATGAGAATACCGACTCTCATTATGTCAGTCACAGGATTGTCTGGTCTCATATATTTATAGACCGCCATCATATAGTGATTTTTGTACGGAATTTTTAGCAAATTCCAGCAATATCACAGCGGGGGGACACCAGAAAGGGGCTTCACGTATTGTGTCCATGTGGGGAATCGAACCCGGATATTCAGCGAGACGAGCGAACACTTTAGAATTGATCTTCACCTATTTATAGCTCTACAATCAAATATACACGACTATGTATAACATTATATATCTGGGTATAACATAACCAAACATGATGACATGCTCAGCGATTTCTGACCCGTGAAGATCCGGGTTAGAATTGATCTTCAGTAACCCATACTTGTTGTCAGAGGCGACTAACGAGATCGCGTGGTCAGGCTCGCCGGCTCGGTTGACACGTGTCATCGTATCCCAATTGCGTAGATCGATGCTCATGATATTGATCACTGGATTGTCTGGTCCAGACCCGATTTTTACAGACCGCAGTCATATAGCTGGAATATTGCTGAAGACGGCGTTAAACAACAACCAATCAAATCCAATCCTATTGCTGGAATATCCAGTAAAGAACAAACAACATAGAAAGAGATAGTTTTAATGTAGTGGATGTTTATTTGATAACGACATTCATTGATAACACACGATACAGTTTCTACAACCGACTGCTCTAGTCTAGACATGAGGCACTGGGTACATGCAACAACAGGATTAACAGAGACGGTCATAACAAACACATGTCACTAAAACGAAATAAATACACATGAAAAATGCATAAATACAGTTTGAATAAAACATATACTGAAACAACATCGGTATTTTCATGTCCATATATTTCATATGCACTGGAAACACAACAACTTCATGTTCATAAACTGTATGATGAAAGGGTGACGAATTCACCAAAATTCATCATACATTCACCGCTTCACCAGGATTCAATAAATATTCAGCTGGAGAATTAAAGGACCTTTACTTTCCTGATTGGCCCACAGTCCCTTATGGTTATACAACAGGTGTAAGTGAAGCAATTAATTATACATTTCCCCAGGTGCAGGATCGAAATCCCCATCCCGCCTGGCGCCTTTAAAATTTAACCGCATTTGTGGCTTTACGTCTGTGAACCTATTTTCACTTTCAAACACTAAGCGTGAGACTTCTAGCAGACATGGGACGTTTATAGTGAGTGAGTCTAGTTTTACGCCGCTTTTAGCAATATTCCAGCAATATCACGACAGGGGACACCAGAAATGGGCTCCACACATTGTACCCATATGGGAAATCGAACCCGGGTCTTTGGCGTGACGAGCGAACGCTTTAACCACTTATAGAACGTTACTTCTGGAACGTTTATAGAAAACACCTTCGTTTTAGTTTATGGCGACAGTTTAGGGATACATTCCCCCATTATCAGAATCAATAAATAAGTTATCATCCGGAAAACATATCTTCCAACGTTTAAGAGACTTCCTCAAACTATAAACGTCGTTTTAGTTTCCACAAAGAAGGGATCAGCGTTCAACAGTGATGCTGATGGTAAACATTTACGAGCGCTTCAGATGATGCCGCTTTCGTTCTCTTCATATTCCCGAACTGATGCCATATTAAAGGGGACGCCTAGGCTGACTGAGTTTGGTTTTACGCCGCTTTTAGCAATATTCCAGCAACATCACGGCGGGGGACACAAGAAATGGGCTTCACACATTGTACCCATGTGGGAAATCGGGGACGCCAAGGGAATACATCGCACACCTTGACCGTTTCCAGTGATATACACACATATGTTATATTCATATTGATAAACAATGTAATACAAAACAAGTGCTGCCATCTGTCTCCTTGTTGAGGAAAAGGAATAACCAATAAAATCCATTCATTCACTCACTCTTACATTCACTCACTCTATCATCCTTCATTCAATCGCTCTGACACATCATTGCATTGTAAGGATCCCTTGTGGGCACTTCCGGCTAACTACACGCATGAAGTATGTACAATGTCACGTGACACGCTGTAGGTGATGAAGTGGTGCAGTAACCATGGCAACGTGTTGAAACATGCATTGGAATAAATGTAACGTACATAAAGAATGCAATCATATGTCCTACTTCAAACAAATACTGATATGATGAAGAAAATATTACACGGTTAAGAGACACGAAAATGCCTCTTTAACACGAAAACCTTTGTAATTGATATTCAATTTTCATTTTTCATAAAATACACTCCATCATCCATTCAGTCCGGTTTTAGCTACTAGTAGATCGTTTCTGAATAGATTATTAAAGAATGATATTTTGATTTGACATGAATGGAAGGGGCACCCTAGTCACACGATGCTTCATTCTCGATGCATTTTCTGTGAAGTCACACTGATGCATGCACCTGTAACAGTAGCTATTCTTCCATAAAAAATGAAAAATACTATAATATAATTCTCATTCAAATGGCATTTCGGTTTGAACCACTTGATCCAATTTCCCTATCTTTCAAGAAATAGACATTCAAAAAACTTGCACATATTACACGTCAAATAGCTTAGGCGAAATGTTCCTTTTTTAGGCATAAACCATTGACAGAAATGTTCGTGTTCAAATGGCATCTTAATTGAAAAATAACTTGAAACAGCAGTATTTCATCAGCAGCCACACTGTAAGACTTGTGTGAACGGCAGCTCTCCATAATAAACTCGCTGGGAATCGTCAAAATAAAGACCCATCACGGGACGGGACTCAGTAGGCCGACAGCGTGACGATACAATCTGTGAATAGAAATAAACACTTGCTAAAACAGAAATCAATTTTACATTGTGCATTAAAATTCATTTCCGCACATAAATACTTGCTAAAACAGAAATTAATTTTGTACGTTGTACATTGAAATACATTTCCGCACATTTAAGTGTGAAGTCATGGCTCAGGATTCTTCACGTCATTCGACATTTGTGGTTTTCTATGGTCATGGTTAGTGCATGTTGATAAAAGGGACGTCAAAGGATTTTAGAAGATAAATGGGAAATAAACAAATTATTTCACGTCATGTTAGAAAAATGTATGGTGTCGTTTTCGCTGGGGGAAATACAAGAATCTGATTCTGGTTTCGTAAAATCATTATGACTCTCATGCTGGTGAACTAATCGAGTCGCCGAATTCACTGACTGACTGACTGACTGAGTTTGGTTTTACGCCGCTTTTAGCAATATTCCAGCAACATCACGGCGGGGGACACCAAAAATGGGCCTCACACATTGTACCCATGTGGGGATTCGAACCCAGGTCTTCGGCGTGACGAGCCAACGCTTTAACCACTAGGCTACCCCACCGCCCCCGTCGAATTCACATATGTGAACTATTCAAGACTATTCTGATTATCAATCTGTGCCAATTCTGTTCTGTTAGTTAGCAGCTATTCATTTGTATGACAGCGGCCTGTAAATAATCGAATCAGGGTCAGACAGTCTAGTGATTTTATTGACCCGCGGGCCTCTGCTTCGGGGTACCAACACAGCATCAACCATTTCACATATAGTCTGACCTCCTCAAATCGCTTCCAACGATCAGGGTTAAAGGGGACCAAAATAATAGGAATCTTACTGTATTCATTCATGAGGAATAAAGCCTGTGGTGAAATGGGTCAAAGACAACTACTTTGGTGAAGGAGACAAATGCAAACTCTGCATATTGCATATCCTGGCTCAGGGAAGGGACGCAACTTAAACACCTACCTGCAGCATGCCGTTGAACGTCGTCACGCAGGTGCCGCCACACATAAGCGTCGTGTATGATGATGGTGCTATTACATAGGGGCCTGAAATGTACAAGACACTCGTCGAATGATATTCGAACAAATAGCGAGTGAGTGAGTGAGTGGGTGAACACATGCCGAATACCTTTTCTGGTCAAGAGTGGGTGAGTGAGTGTAGTTTTACGTCGCTATTAGCAATATTCCAGCAATATCACGGCGGGGGACACCGGAAAAGGGCTTCACACATGTTCACTTGCGACAAGATGCTGGTAACCTACGGTTAACTTTATAATAGTGGATGGTTTATGTATAAGGCACTTAATATTTCTCCCGTTAAAATATATTATTTCTTCCAATAATTTCTTCCATTAATATATATAGAGAGAGAGAAAAGGATCATATAAGTGCTATTGGGAAATGCACAGTATGCTATTATTAGACTAACAAAAGAAAACCTTCGGAAATGAGGATTTAGTTTCATAATGGTATTCTTACATTGGCGGATCCAGAGGGGGGGTTCTTGGGGTTCGACCCCCCTTTGAAAATGACTTAAGACCACATTGAAGATTTTTTTTGCGTTAGCGGAGGCAATGGGATGTTCAGGGGGTTTGAACCCCCTGAACCCCCCCTTTTCAAAATTCCTGGATCCGCCCATGCTTATATATTTAAACTCACTTGACTCCCACGTGGCTATCCTCACTTCCGTGCCTTGACACATCCCGACCGATCTCACGCTGTTTTTTGGTGCCGCAGTTGTGACCGGTGACGACGTAGCTCCGACGTCACGTCTCGCACGGAGTCGACCAAATGGAGGACGAAATCGGCTTTGAGTAGTGATGATTTCTAAGTAAGGATAGTTGGATTCAATGTTCTCCTGAATCCAGCGGAATCGGTTGAAAGCTACTGGTTCCTCCCGGCATCCAGTCTCTGAAATGAGTAAGTGAATGGGTGAGTAGGAGAGAGGGTGGTTGGGTTAACGCCACTTTTTACAAACTATTAACACTAATAATATATTAGAATGCCGACACACTGAAACATTCCCCAAAATGTTATACTAGTTGTGGGAATCGAACCGGATTCACGGCGTGACTGCGAACAAGATGACCAATCGGCAAACCAGAAAAAAAAATGACAATGTAAAAATATCAATATTTCCAATTTCAATAAACCCATTTCAGCTGAAAATGTTAATACTTCCATAGCATAATTGATAGAACGTCTACAAAGGGAGCCTAAGTTTCGATCCCCTGGGACCTGGGGCGGTGGGGTAGCCTAGTGGTTAAAGCGTTGGTTCGTCACGCCGTAGACCCGGGTTCGATTCCCCACATGGGCACAATGTGTTAAGCCCATTTCTGGTGTCCCCCGCCGTGATATTGCTGGAATATTGCTAAAAGCGGCGTAAAACTAAACTCAGTCAGTCAGTCCCCCTGGGACCGTCAAACCAAATTACGTCAAAACATAAATAAGTTAAACCTAAAATCGCTTTCAACGTTCCTTGGTTTTATATCAAATGTTTCTTCATCAGTTCTCTGGGCGGTGAGGTAGTCCAGTGGCTAAAGCGATCGCTCGTCACGCCGAAGACCCGGGTTCGTTTCCCAACAGGGGTACATTGTGTGAAGCCCATTTCTGGTGTCCTGGCAGTGATATTGCTGGAATATTGCTAAAAGCGAGGTAAAACTAAACTCACTCACTCATCAGTTCTGTTGAAACTTTACTATGAAACTCTACAAAGTCAATTATACATAGCACAACCTCAACAACTAACACATGTTTTCTTTCACAGTGTTTTGTGTATCTTATGTTCGTGTTCTGAAGTAAACTTGATTAGTCGTGAGTTCTTCCTCTTTTTTATTACATACCTTCTGGACTATTGCAATCGACGGGAACAACCATATTCATTGCGTTACATGGCACCTCGTTTTCATCTTTGACAATAATCTCGAAACCGAAGTTGTTCCGCTCGCCGCTTAACCACTGCATGACGGCCTGTTTCACGTCAAACGTCACCCACGTTGGTCCCGTTGTTGTCACCATCCGGGCATCCAGCAAGCGCTTCCGGTTTAAAACTGAATCACAGAATGACCATTTTGAACTTGAAATTAGCACAGAAAACAATGGGATGAGAATAGTTACTATCTCATGGTCTTGTTTCAAGGATGATACCGTTTAAAGTGCAAGTGAATAAGTGAGCAGATATTGTTTTACACCGCATTCAGCAACACTAACGTCAAGTAAATGACCAAATCAGTGATTGAAGCAAGGAATGCTATTTCATGTTTTGGAGATACAATGTCATTTCAGTCATAGAGCAAAAATAAAATGCCCCCTATACATACATGCACATACCTTGCTGTATACAAGATTTAGCCATATACCTCGCTCATTACACGATATAGCCAACTACCTAGCTATATACAGCTCGCTATATATACAATAGAACCATCTATCTCTCTATATATACATGTACACGATATAAAAACCTAGATGGCTATATCCACAATATAGCTATATACTTCACATGATACACAATATAGCAATCATATAAATCCATACCAAGAGGTTCTTCTTTGTTCTTTTACTTACCTCTGTTGCGAGATCGCTGGAATCTCAGAGGTCTGAGGAATTGGTACACCGACACCAGGAACCTGGAGCCGCTCGCTGACATTGGAACCTCCTCCCCGTGACAAGTGAAGCCTGGGGTAGAGCAAAAACAGTGAGTGAGTATGGTTTTACGCAATAAAAGCAATTTAGCAATATTCCAGCAATATCGGGGCGGGAGAACACCAGAAATGGGAGACAACCATTGTACCCATGTGAGGAATTGAACCCGGTTTTTCAGCGTGACGAGCCAACGTTTTCACCATTAGGCTACCCCACTGCCCAAGAGCATGAAGAACTTCATCCAACAAGAATATCTGAGATGGGTGTGTTTGCATACGAGTTTGGCTTCTAGTAAGAGCCGTGACAATTGCGTGTCTTGAAGGGCTAGCCCAATGAGATACATGTGCGATGACGCTGTTTACCTGGACAATGACCCCTAGCTGCCCAGTCCATGTTTTTCGTCATGTCTATCCCCTTTAATAATGCACGTGAGACATCATTATATATATTTATTTTTTTTCATATGTTATTTAATGTTTTCATTTTTGGGGGATCATACTTGGGTTTTAGGGTCTCCAAACACTAAGGATTACACTCCATACACTTCAACATAAACTCCAACATTTTCGACAGTAACAGCATTGCTCTTCTTTTCTGTCAAGAGCGGCTGCTGTTTCTGACAAAGTTCATAACCCAACCATGACTCGTTAAGTCAGACATTAGCCGAACCGGGTTATATAACATTATTAAACTGATCGTATACGATTTCAGCTGACTTAATATTACAAGTCCCTGGCTGTTCTTTGTCTACGTTCGTAAACAGATGCAGATGTTGATAATGTGGGAAAATTAATAAACAATGCAATAAAATTATAGATATATTATTAGAAATATGGATAATACTTACCATTCGTGTGTCGAAGGAAGACATTCAGATTGGCTTGCCGCAGATGTGTTGGGGCAGTGTCCTGTCTCGCAGCTAGACTCGTGTAGACTCGGAAACCTCCGAGTTGGTTGTCCTCCCACAACTGGCGGTCGATATTCCTCGGGAGAGAACCTGGAAGATCATAATCTGTCTCACAGTCCCAGAACAATATGTTCCCTACTGTCTAACCCTCTCTGCAATGCTAAAGCTCTAAATGAAGCAGGTCTAGATGTCATCAGGTTCTCATCAGGTTCTGAATCTCTGGTCTCCCTGGGTCTCCTTTTCAATTTAAATGGGTTTGTTTGCTGCTGTCAAAATTGTATATATTCAGAGACTAAGCGTTAGTCTAGGAAGGTCATTACAAGATATGTCACAGGCACTGAAAGTTTGTCTACTAATAATTATTGTATGGTTGACCAAATTTGCCACTTTCATACATTTATTTACTTTTGGGTAAAATATATAATTTCATGAACAATAAACAACAAAAAATGTCTCCAACCTTTGTAGTCAACATTTTTGAGAACTCTTTATAATGTTTGATAAACTTTGGTTATTCGTGTGGTAATTGTCGTTGCTTATGCTGTTGATCACCGGATTGTCTGGTCCTGACACGATTATTTACAGACCGCCGCCATATAGCTGGAATATTGCTGAGTGCGGCGTTAAACATAAAAAGAACAACGTATGGTATTTGTAGTTTTGTTTCAAAGGGAAATACAATGTCAACAAGGTTTTATCATTCCTAATCAACAAAAATGAGAAATGTGACCGTTATCATTTAAATGACGTGGCGCTTGTTATGGATAAGAACTGAAACGTCATTTCAAACAATAGTGAGTGAGTGAGTGACTTTATTTTGACGCCGCTTTTAACAATATTCCAGCAATATCACCACAGGGGATACCAGAAATGGGCGTCACACATTGCAGCTATTTGTGGAATCGAACCAAGATCTTCGCCGTGACCAGTGAACGCGTTAACCATTAGGCAACCCCACCGCCCCCCATGTCAAACAATAAAGAAGTATTTTTAAAAGGTTCCGGGTCTATATTTTCGTGGAACTGGAATACCGGTAATTTTTAATGTTGTAAGATACATTCTGCTTCAGTTCTATAACAGTTTTGTTTCTTGTCAACTATTTAATTTATCAAAAAATGGATTTTTATGAAATCTTTTTGATTTACGTTCTAAACAGAAGCAATGGCCATTAAATGTGTAATTAATTTAGTGTATGTGAGACACATGCTTTCTATAAATACATTCCTGCTTGAGGCATTCCTGCTGCAAATCTCTTAAGCACATTATTCCCATTTAACATCATCTAAATTGGACAACAAGCAATAAACATCCGCCGTGAAGGCCTCTACCCCGCCCTAGCCTGTGCCGTCGCAATCAATGTAGCCCATTCATTCCTAATACCACCCCGGGGGGCCGTCTTCACTATAATCCATGGCTCAAGAAGATACTGGAAAATTCCAATGAAGTTATGAATGAATGAGGTTTTCATTCAGGGTCGCATGCCATTCTCATTGTGAATACCTCAGACATCTAAGAATGGAAAATACCCAAAGGCTCATGGGAGTACCGTTAAACACCACGTGGGGGTCACATTGTCTGGCCTTGACAAGTTCGCAGCCATCAGCAAACGCCCCTGTTTTCATGTACAGAATTTCACAGTCTGCACTTTGTTTCTGTCTGCCTTGCATGTTGTCGAATATCTTTGACAACGACACTTCAAAAAGATATTTTTGTCACCTACTTTTTTATTCTTTCCAAAACAAAAATGTTTTTTGTAACAAAATCGTTTTTCACACATTTTTAGATAATAATTAAACATTGCTAAAAAGTATCTGCATATGTGTTCTTTAAAAATCATAAATTATTCACATATTTTTCAAACACCTTTCACTCATTTATCTGAATATTTGCATACATTTTATTCACAGATTGCAGCTGACAAATCATCCATTTACTACACTTGTTTAAACATTTATTAAAATGATAAAACTAGTATATATCGAGTATATATAGGTTTGAACTATAGGCAATTATAGTTTTTATATAGAGTTCTATTGTCTTAAATCTAGTTGCATTTAGCTTAAATCTGCCGGTATATAGTATTAAACCTATTAGCTAGATGCATCTTGTGTTATATAGAGTATTATACATTGTTATACTTTGTTATGCCTATTTATACCAAGTTATACCTCGTTATACCTATTTATACCAAGTTATACCTTGTTATACCTATTTATACCAAGTTATACCTTGTTATACCTATTTATACCAAGTTATACCTCGTTATACCTATTTATACCAAGTTATACCTCGTCCACCTTAGATATACGTATTGTTACTGGGTCAGAACACTGTCATACTGTTACATGCAGATGTGCTCTACCAAGTAGTAATCTATATAAGTAATATTTAGTTGCTTTCTAAATATTGTTTTACATTTAGTCTATACTATTCTAATTAGTTATGTTTCTGAAACATATATTTTGTTTCAAAGGTTTTTCCGTAACAAATATAAATTGCTGAGAATATTGTAATAACTAATTGCATCTGTTGTTACAATTTGCAATACTGTTATACCACGCATACATAATGTATAATTATACCTAGTAGTATATTGTCTTACTAATAGTGTCGCGTAAAATTATAAATACCTATATACAATATATTGTAGAATACAAAAATATCCACCGTACTGTCCTAATGGGTTTTCAGTACTGTTATACCACTTAGATATAATATAATACATGTATAGTTGCCTGTAGATATTTATAATTCGTATAACTACTGTAGCCACAAAAAGCATCGTCATGAATAGTTATATTTGTTAACACATTTTCCCACATAAAATGAAATATTTTGCTGTAAAATAGAAATCGCTGAGTGAATGAGTTTAGTTTTACGCCGCACTCAGCAATAGTCCAGCTAAATGGAAGCGGTCTGTTAATAATCGAGTCTGGACCAGACAATCCAGTGATCAACAGCATGAGCAACGATCTCCGCATTTTGGACACTATGACATGTGTCAACCAAGTCAGCGAGCCTGACCACCCGATCCCGTAAGTCGCCTCTTACAACAAGTATGGGTTACTGAAGATCAATTCTAACCCTGACCTTCACGGGTCAGAAATCTCTGAGCATGTCATCATGTTTGGTTATGTTATACCCAGATATATAATGTTATACATAGTCGTGTATATTTGATTGTAGAGCTATAAATAGGTGTACACAGTGTGTACTCACAAGGAGCGTTGTTATAAATCGTGACAGTTTATGTTGTAAATCACAAATGTTTCAGCCTATTTTGTATTTATTGTGTGTTTTCAATGTTATGTCACAAAGTAAGTATGTGCGTTGCGTTTAAGGCAGCTTATATTCCAGCAATATCACGGCGGGGGACACCACAAATGGGCTTCAACACATTGCACCCTTTTGGGGAATCGAACCCGGGTCTTCCGCGTGACGAGCGAACGCTTTAACCACTAGGCTACCGTTATGTCACATAGATATACTGCTATATGTACTAGTGTAAATTTGCCTGTAGAGTATATATCGTTTACTGCTATACTCACACGAGGCAGAGAAACAGCGGCTCTCCTCCCTGTTCTCCAGTTCGTCCTCCATCAACGTGTAAGGGTATGATTGGTTGGTAATGTTACGGATGAGGCCTTCCGGGATGCTCGGAGGTTCCGTCCAGCCCAGACTGCGCAGAATCTGTTCCCGGATCCGCTGCAGACGGTATCGGCGGTTCCATGAATGGATTCTGAGGAGAGATAGAGCGCTTACTTTAATATTCTGGCAGGGTGGGGTCAGTTAAGTGAGTGGTTCTGGCTTTACGCCGCTCTCAGCAATATTCAAACAGTAACGCTGAGGGAGAGGCCAGAAAGGGTCTTCACACATTGTAGCTATTTGTAGAATCGAACCAAGGTCCTCGTCGTGACGAACGAACGCGTTAACCACTAGGCACACACACACACACACACACACACACACACACACACACACACACACACACACACACACACACACACACACTCACTCACTCACTCACTCACTCACTCACTCACTCACTCACACACTCACTCACACACACTCACACACACACACTCTCACTCTCACACACTCAATTTCACCACACCCTCACTCACTCACTCACTCACACTAACACTCACTCACTCACACACACACTCCCTGGTATCTGTGAAAGCACCGAGATAGTTTTACGAGACGCTCTAGCGGTCCAGCCCACTTATGGTATCACCACTTGCCATTGGTGAATTTCGTCCTACCATTTCTGTTACAAGCAATCCTTGCATTGTGACTATCAGTTCGGGGTGGGTGGATAGCCTAGTGGTTAAAACGTTCGCTTGTTACGTCGCAAGCCCGAGTTTGCTCCCCTCATGCGAAGGCCGTCCCCCCATGATATTGCTGGAATATTGCTAAAACGGCGTAAAAACACTTTCACATTATCTTTTCACACTACAATTGACAATACATTCACTGTTTTTGTCACTCAAGTGACGCGTGCGTGCGTGCGTGCGTACATAACGTCATGAACATCGATCTGAGAAGCTGGGATACGATGATACACATCAACCAGACCAGCACGCCTGACAAACCGATCCCGTTAGTCGCCAAGCATGGTTCACTGAAGAATTCTAGGATCTTCAGGGGTAGCTTCAGAAGATGTACCACGTGGCACCCCACACAGATTACCATAACCAAGCACCGTGTATCTGTGTCAGTGTCACGGGCATCCACCTCTGCGAGCCCTACCCACAATACAGACAACTATTCTGCCCATAAGGAATGTCCCTCATTAGCCAAGTGAAGCCTGTGCCCCCATCCCAGATCCCCTGGGTGTGAATGGCGGGGAATTAAGGGGGATACGGGATGAATGGAGAAGAATTTTCGCACTATCATTGAGTTCATCTCGTACACGAATGTACTGCATGACTGTTATCTAGAAGACATAGTTTTCTGCTGTTTCGTCACGTCGAAGACCCGGGTTCTATCCCCAGTTGGGTAAACATACTGAACAAAAAAGTTAAGGGCCCAATCTTCAATAATAAATTATTTAATGGTTCAGATTATGATCCATATATTATGCTTAAATATTTATTATTGGGGTGGTTCATTTTTGCTGAGTATATGTGAAGCCCATTCCTGTGTCCCCCGCCATGATATTACTGGAATATTGAAAAAAGCGGCATAAAACTAAACTCACTCACTAGTACGTGTGCGAACATAACAATTGGGTCATTCTTTAATTATTCAACTTCCACAGACACAACTTTGCAACACCGGCTGTGCAAACACATGTTTTATAACGGCATGTTGTCGCAGTATTCAGTCAAAGCTTGTCTTGGCTTTATCTCATGTTTGGTTTGCAAAGAAGTTAAAAGTTTAGACACCGTCAAATACAACTCATTCATTTATCCTACTGCGTTTCAGGACATTGGTTCTGTTTGCATTATTAATTCAAAAGATGTTCACGTAAAATATACTGAATCAGGTTACGTCACAAAGGAAGGAATCCATACCGCTGTATCATCCCTGTCATCGTCGATCTGCAAGTCGTGGCGGTTAGATATTATATAATATACTATTTGAAACTTGTAAGAATAAATAATAAATAAAATCATTGTTTTCTGAAAGAAGTATACTGACGTTCAAAAGAAAGTACACACCTGATTGTTTGGTATAATATTTTCTTAAAAACAGCGTTAATATTTTAAGAGTTTTGATTCTGCTTTCCAAGTCACAAACATTGTGCAAGTATTTTCAAAACAACACAGATATCGTTCCCAATTACAACATTGCTAACAAAATATTTGGGTTTTTTAAAGTCCCCAAAACACTAGGTGTATACTTTCTTTTGTACGTCAGTATATTTATTCGTATAATTATTCAGTATTTCTCAATCAATACGAAACTTATCAGAATTTGCTTGTCATCATTGTTTTAAGAAAAGAAATATTAATTTGTTTAATTATACAATTTTTCTCAATCAATACGTTTTCAGTCATATATATTTTGGCATAGTATATCATGGTATCCTACGTCATACTAACTTATTGTATGACGTTAAAATGTCATATACACTAATTAAATGCTATGATTGTTTCCATGTGTCATAATCAATTGAGCAGATCTATGTTACAAGATGTCCAACAAAGTCAGTCCTTAACGCTTGTATACCTCTTTCACTGTAGCGTGGTGGTAAACAGTAACACAACCTTCTAATGTGTGGAGAATGTGATACAACGGGTGATAACAACTCGAAAACACACCATGGGATATTGACAAATCACTCCGTCACAAAGTGATCACGTGTGTTGGTGTAGGAATCCCGCATGGACACTGGAAGGTCACAACTTGACAGATGTGGGTCAGACGAAGAGATTGATGGGTCTCAGAAACCACCACAACAACCAGAAATATCTGATTGTGTACACCTTGGAGGTCAAAGATGTCGTTGTGAATAAGGCTAGAGTACGATGTGTAGCCTACACAGACAGTAACTGTTGTGATAGTCATAGCGTCGTGCACCTAGTCGCTCTCATCGGCTAGAAGTCAGGTGTTGTAGGTGGGACGTCATGACATCTTGTGTTGTAGGTGGGGCGTCATGACATCTTGTGTTGTAAATGGGGCGTCATGACATCTTGTGTTGTAGGTGGGAATTTATAACATCTTGTACAGAGTCAATGTCAGGTGTTGTAGGTGGGACGTCATGACATCTTGTGTTGTAGGTGGGGCGTCATGACATCTTGTGTTCTAGGTGGGAATTTATAACATCTTGTACAGCGTCAATGTCAGGTGTTGTAGGTGGGACGTCATGACATCTTGTGTTGTAGGTGGGGCGTCATAACGTCTGGTGTTGTAGGTGGGAATTTATAACATCTTGTACAGAGTCAATGTCAGGTGTTGTAGGTGGCACTTTATAACGTCTTGTACAGAGTCAGTGTCAGGTGTTGTAGGTGAGACGTCATAACATCTTGTGTTGTAGGTGGGACGTCATAACATCTTGTGTTGTAGGTGGCACTTTATAACGCCTTGTACAGAGTCAATGTCAGGTGTTGTAGGTGGCACTTTAAAACGCCTTGTACAGAGTCAATGTCAGGTGTTGTAGGTGGGACGTCATAACATCTTGTGTCGTAGGTGGCACTTTATAACGCCTTGTACAGCGTCAATGTCAGGTGTTGTAGGTGGCACTTTAAAACGTCTTGTACAGAGTCAATGTCAGGTGTTGTAGGTGGGACGTCATAACATCTTGTGTCGTAGGTGGCACTTTATAACGCCTTGTACAGCGTCAATGTCAGGTGTTGTAGGTGGCACTTTAAAACGTCTTGTATAGAGTCAATGTCAGGTGTTGTAGGTGGGACGTCATAACATCTTGTGTTGTAGGCGGGACGTCATAACATCTTGTGTCGTAGGTGGCGCTTTATAACGCCTTGTACAGAGTCAATGTCAGGTGTTGTAGGTGGCACTTTATAACGTCTTGTACTCAATGTGGTGTTGTAGGGTGGCAGTCTTGTACAGTCAATGTCAGGTGTTGTAGGTGGCACTTTATAACGTCTTATAGGTGTTGTAGGTGGCACTTTATAACGTCTTGTACAGAGTCAATGTCAGGTGTTGTAGGTGAGACGTCATAACATCTTGTGTTGTAGGTGGGACTTCATAACGTCTTGTACAGAGTCAATGTCAGGTGTTGTAGGTGGGACGTCATAACATCTTGTGTTGTAGGTGGCACGTCATAACACATTGTGTTGTAGGTGGGACATCATAACACATTGTGTTGTAGGTGGGGCGTCATAAAATCATGTGTTGTAGGTGGGACGTCATAAAATCATGTGTTGTAGGTGGGACGTCATAACACATTGTGTTGTAGGCGGGACGTCATAACATCTTGTGTTGTAGGTGGCACTTTATAACGTCTTGTACAGAGTCAATGTCAGGTGTTGTAGGTGGCACTTTATAACGCCTTATATACAGTCAATGTCAGGTGTTGTAGGTGGCACTTTAAAACGTCTTGTATAGAGTCAATGTCAGGTGTTGTAGGTGGGACGTCATAACATCTTGTGTTGTAGGCGGGACGTCATAACATCTTGTGTCGTAGGTGGCGCTTTATAACGCCTTGTACAGAGTCAATGTCAGGTGTTGTAGGTGGCACTTTATAAAGTCTTGTACAGAGTCAATGTCAGGTGTTATAGGTGAGACGTCATAACATCTTGTGTTGTAGGTGGCACTTTATAACATCTTGTACAGAGTCAATGTCAGGTGTTGTAGGTGGCACTTTATAACGTCTTGTACAGAGTCAATGTCAGGTGTTGTAGGTGGCACTTTATAACGTCTTGTACAGAGTCAATGTCAGGTGTTGTAGGTGGCACGTTATAACGTCTTGTACAGAGTCAATGTCAGGTGTTGTAGGTGGCACTTTATAACGTCTTGTACAGAGTCAATGTCAGGTGTTGTAGGTGGGACTTCATAACGTCTTGTACAGAGTCAATGTCAGGTGTTGTAGGTGGGGCGTCATAAAATCATGTGTTGTAGGTGGGACGTCATAAAATCATGTGTTGTAGGTGGGACGTCATAACACATTGTGTTGTAGGCGGGACGTCATAACATCTTGTGTTGTAGGTGGCACTTTATAACGTCTTGTACAGAGTCAATGTCAGGTGTTGTAGGTGGCACTTTATAACGTCTTGTACAGAGTCAATGTCAGGTGTTGTAGGTGGGACGTCATAACATCTTGTGTTGTAGGTGGGACTTTATAACGTCTTGTACAGAGTCAATGTCAGGTGTTGTAGGTGGGACGTCATAACATCTTGTGTCGTAGGTGGGACTTCATAACGCCTTGTTCAGTAGAGTTATTCCGCAGTAAGCACCAGGGGTCTTACCGAAACTTTATTTTTTTTTAATTTTCTTTATTTAAGTGAACAAAAACACATTTTCAAGCCATGTTCAATATTTTGGTAGTAATAACGGACAATCCGCTATACCGGACTTTCCTATAAGTCATACAGATCCTGGAACAAAACTATCCAACAAACCAAGTCTGTAATAATTGGCAAGTTTGGATTACTGTAGTTTCTAAGAAAGTCTTTCGGGGGCCTTTTTATCATATTTTATTGAAATAACTACCTTTTGTAAAAAAAAAGTAACTATTTCAGAAACTAGATTTTAGTTTATATAAGCATATGTATCAGCATGACTTCTTCAACAATGCTGGCGTGAACGTATTGTATTTGGGAATATATACCAACCAAACAAAGTAGGGGATATTGGATTTACAACATTGATAAAATGTAAATGATGAAGCCAAGGAGGAAACAGATGATGAAGAGAAATTAAGGGAAAATGTGACAATTTATTCCATTCTTTTGGAAATGTTTCATCTGTATGGATATATATTACTTTTTTCATATGCACTGGCTAGTGGTATGCTCACAAAATGGAATATCCCCTACATTTTTTGAATGGTATATAAGACTTGCTCTGATGAATAATTGTGATAGTTTGCTGCGGGATAACGAAACACACTGTGTACATGAATATCTACCAAGTCATATAGTTAATATACCGTTTTGATGTAAAAATGTATTCGAGTTTATTTATTACATATTTTTATTATACTTACTTTTAACTTTACCATTTCCCACTTTGATCCATATTGATATTCGATATTCGATATTGGGTAGAAGATATAAGACCTTTATACTACGAAGCCTTATACTAAGACCCATATACCACAGAACCTTATACTTAGACCCTACACTACAAAACCTTATACTTAAACCCTTGCAACTACAAAACCTTATACTTAGACCATTACACTACAAAACCTTATAAATAGACCATTACACTACAAAGCCTTATACTTAGACCCTTACACTACAAAGCCTTATACTTAGACCATTACACTAGAAACCTTATACTTAGACCCTTACACTACAAAACCTTACACTTAGACCCTTATACTACAGAACCTTATACTTAGACCCTTACACTACAAAGCCTTATACTTAGACCATTACACTAGAAACCTTATACTTAGACCATTACACTACTAAACCTTATACTTAGACCATTACACTCTAAAACCTTATACTTATTGACCCTTATACCACAAAACCTTATACTTAGATCCTTATACTACTGAACCTTATATTTAGACCATTACACTACAGAACCTTATACTTAGACCCTTACACTACAGGACCTTATACTTAGACCCTTACACTACAAAACCTTATACTTAGACCATTACACTCTAAAACCTTATACTTATTGACCCTTATACCACAAAACCTTATACTTAGATCCTTATACTACTGAACCTTATATTTAGACCATTACACTACAGAACCTTATACTTAGACCCTTACACTACAGGACCTTATACTTAGACCCTTACACTACAAAACCTTATACTTAGACCATTACACTCTAAAACCTTATACTTATAGACCCTTATACCACAAAACCTTATACTTAGATCCTTATACTACTGAACCTTATATTTAGACCATTACACTACAGAACCTTATACTTAGACCCTTACACTACAGGACCTTATACTTAGACCCTTACACTACAGGACCTTATACTTAGACCATTACACTAGAAACCTTATACTTAGACCATTACACTACAAAACTTTATACTAAGACCCTTATATCACAAAACCTTATACTAAGACCCTTATATCACAAAACCTTATACTTAGACCCTTATACCACAAAACCTTATACTAAGACCCTTATATCACAAAACCTTATACTTAGACCCTTATACCACAGAACCTTATACTTAGAACCCTATACTACAGAACCAATACAGTTGCATTTGAGGCAGCCTAAGTTAATGTATGTTAATGAATCTATTATGGGCCTTATATTTTAATATATACTTAATATATTTTTATTGTACACCCCGGAATTGTTCAGCAGACAATAGTTCAAAGCAAGTTGTTGAATGTTACGCTCTGTAAGACCAAATACCCACCCCACTACTACGATCAGGGGAGGTTATGTACGGTATGATGACGCCTTACATGCGCTTCAGGTGTTCGTGCATGTGTACGACTCGGACTGATGCTGGTGTTTCTGGTGACGGCCCATTCTGAGGAGTTGAGTTGAAATTAGTTGAAATGGTACGGTAACGTGTGTGTGCTAGAGTGTGTGTGTGTGCGCGCGCGTGCGTGTGTGTATGTCTGTCTGTTGGTACTGAGGCGAACTAATGCTTACAATGCAGCGCTTGTCTGCCTACTGAGATACTATGCCGCACACTCACAGTACACAGATTCGGAACGGGACATTGTTTTATACGTGTAATGCTAAGCGCCAGCCAGGGTAATAGCAAGTACCATTTTTTAACTTGTTGAGGGAAGATGCGCGCGTGTGCGTGAGAGAGAGAAAGAGAACGATTGAGAGCGTGTATGTGCGTGCGTTTTTGTTCAGTCATCAGCTTCCCGCTCTCTCTACACCAAAACACCACTACACAATAATATATCAACTTTTTTTCAGTACTTTTTTCAGTACCTATACTCTGCAGGTATTTAACTTATCTCGAATTTAAATTTTACATTCAACATTATGAGGATAATATTCGGGTCACGGTTTACAGGATTACATTATGTAATAAACTGCTATTGCTGAAGATTGCATCACACGGTGCATTGCATGCACTTTCGGTTTGAAAAGGATTTTAAAAAGTTATAAATTAAAATCTTGCAGTATCGGCGGTACCAGTTAAAACATATGTAAACCTTTGCCTAAATATTATGAAAATCATCAATAAATATATACGCATTTGGATATAATGCAAATGTAAAATTATTAGGTTTAAATAGAGCTGTAAATTTAAAAATACTTACCTTTCTCTCATTTCAAACAATCTTTCTTCCTCTGTTGTGAGGTTTGGCGATGCCGTTGTGTTGGTGGGGTCGGTGCCGTTGTCTGCCACGTCTTCAAATTCTGTACTGTTTCCTATATCAACGTTGTTGCTGTTCTTCTGTCTGTTGATGGTGTTACTGTCAACGTCTTCAACAGCAACATAAAGCAGCAACAGCGTCATCAAAATGTTGACACAAGACCACAATTCCATTTTGGACAAATGTTGAAACAAGACCTCCAAAATAACGTTTCGAACGATTTCCTTTTAAATAAAAATTTGGTTTTGAAAATTTTACAAACGATATCTTTGACCGATTTTCAAAATGTCTTTGACAACAATTCTGGAAGAGAAAGTTCCAGTGGTAGTTTCAAACAAAGTCGAACCGACGACAGTGTAAAGGTAAGTTAATCGTCTTTCCGGCAAATGTGTTGAGGAAATCCGTGTTGTCATGTGCGCGTTTTATAAGAAGGAATTAGGAGGCGGGTGAGGGTTGACCAATCACATAGGGTGATCCCGCGTCCGCCTGCCATATTAAGGCGTGGTCTAACAGACGCCTCTGGTGGTCTGCAGCCGATTAACTCAAGCAGACGTCCTCTCTAGACCCACTTGGGAGGATCCCATACGTTACACAGGTTGATTTGCCTTTGTACGCCGGGCCGACTGTACGTCTTACGAGCCTGTACTACAGCGTACAGAGTCAGACAACTTAAGTTGGTTAATTAGGAATGTCGTCTGCTCGTGCTAGGATTCCCGCCAAGTTTGTCTGAAACACTTCGACAACTACCGTCTGGGAGTCCGATGACGCACTATCTTGTTTTGTTTGATGTTATCGTGGTATTTTCTGGGGTGTAAATAGTTAGCTGAAAATGAATATGTTCAAGAGATTCTATCAACACGTGTGTTATTGTTTTTGAGTACGGGCAGGCATTGATCATAGTTTGTCGAGCCCTCGTGGCAGATCCATAAGTTTCATCATAATTGTATTGTATTTTATCGGAATTCAAATGAGATATTTCAATGAAAGTACCTTGCATGTGGACAGAGCGTTTATTGGAATGTGGTTTATGGTACAATACAAGTATGATTTTTATCAAGATCAGTTGCACTTGTAGATACTGTGAAATATATTTTAGACAATATAGACTTGGTCGAGGTGAGTGATTATCAGGTTTATGTACAAGATGAATGCCAATTAAACATCATCAAATGTTCATTTGCACACATTTACGTAATATCATGTGCGTGTGTGTGTATGTGTGCGCGCGCGCGAGTGTGCGTTTGCGCCCGTGTGCCCGCGTGTGCGGATGTGTTAAAAGCAGCGTTCAAAGATACATTAGTCTGTCTCACAGTCCCTGAACACATTAATTTCGCTACTGCTGCCCTCTCTGCAGTGCTAAAGCCCTAAATAAAGCAAGTCTAGTTTCCTCAGGTTCTGAATCTCTGGTCTCCCTAGGGTTCCTTTTCAATATAAATGGGCTTGTTTGTTACTATCAAAATTATATATATTCAGAGACTAAGCCTTAGTCTAAAGATACATATGGGTGTGTGTATACAAGTCTGGATGGTCGGTTTTATATACCGTATGACCTTGAAACTTGGATACACCTCCCAGACACTATGTAGGCCTACTGAGATTCAGCCGTCCTTTGTTTTGTCTTCGAGTACCAGCCATGGTAACAATGAGTGCCATCTTTTACCGCACTTTGGTGCGAGTTGGCAGGGGATAGAACTAGCAGCCTTCAGCTTTCCTTGTAAACACTTTTCCTCTCGACTACATGTGTAGCGTGAATCAAAATTAAAATGATTAAAATTATTTCTAATGTCATAAGTATGCGGGGTTCTCTTTTGTCTCCGACTACCTGCCAGGGTAACAGTAAGTGCCATCTTTTACCACACTTTGGTGCGAGTTGGCAGGTTATAGAACCCGCGACCTTCCTGCTTTCCTTTGTAAATGCTATTTCCTCTTGACTACTTTTGTGCCGTAAATCAAAATTAAAACGATTATAGTGATTTCTAATGCTATGTGTTTGCCGGCTTATTCATAATCCTAACTGGGGGCGGTGGGGTAGCCTAGTGGTTAAAGCGTTGGCTCGTCACGCCGAAGACCCGGGTTCGAATCCCCACATGGGTACATTGTGTGAAGCTCATTTCTGGTGTCCCCCGCCGTGATATTGCTGAAATATTGCTAAAAGAGTCGTAAAACCAAACTCACTCACTCACTCACTCATAATCCTAACTGACATTTTAAATTCCATACATACCGATAATAACTGTGAGGCAATGTATTTCTCTTTATGAGTCTAATGACAAATAATGACATAATTGTTTACTGAAAATACTCTCATCTCCATGTGTATTTACTAATAAATATTATCTCCTGGATAAAATGTGTTTGTTAATATATAGAATAGAATATATAAATAAACACAAAACACATAATAATGTATAATATATGTCTAATATGTATAACCATTATTCATATTATCAGGTGTAAATTCAAATGTTCCGTAAAGAATTTATATTTGTAACAGACTCACGAATAAACGCTTCACTTATAGGAATATTAGACAAAAAGCCATCAGACATGCAACCTGTTTTACCTTCAGGAGTGTTAGACCAACACGAGGCATTCGCATTCATCCAACCTTCAGTCAAAACATGTTTGGGTCGAGTTCTTCGTCCGACTGGGAATCCCATAAAGACCAACTACAAAGATATCAGGTTTCCTTCCGTGCCCCTTCTAACGGTAAACGACCCAATGTCTGTATCCCCCTAAACGATAATTGGGAAAAGTTGATTGTTCCTCCATATATACCAAACTGAACGGCAGCATACTAGAAAAACTACATCCTAAAAATATGCTCAAAAAGGTTTCACTGTGTTCAACGAAAATTTGGTGGGATTGGAAATTTATTTTTCTAAAAAATATTCCGAAAATCCATGGATTTTATTCTCCCTTCGAAAAAGAAAGTTTGCACCATGTGTTAAGGTGAAATATGAACAAACAAGATATTGTTCATTTGCTTGTTCATTTGATAAGGATATGAAAATTGCGTTCGTGGCATATCGGCGACTGTTGTCAGCCCTGTGAAGTTTTAAATAAAGTTTGTGTTTTGTCAAATCCAAATTTTAAATTGTGCACTTACTTTTGCCAGGCAGCTCATTCATAATTAATGGTGATGTTTTACTTGAGAAGATATTTACTTCACCAAGCAATTGTGACTATATGGCATTTTAATGTACATCAAGCGAAACACGATTGAATAATTCTTATTCTTTCATCCAATAGGAACCGAACTAGTTTAACAATAAGGTTGCAGTACAAGATCATATTGAATTTCACACATTACTGAAACATAATGTGTCCTTGATCTATTGTATGTGAAGGAAGTCTTATAAAGAGGCATTTTCTTGACATTTTGTCGTACGGTTACATTACAACGTTTTAAAGTTCAACACGAGGCTAATGTTTCCAGTACCATCTACTTCCACCCACAGTGTTCAGCCTCGTCACATCGTCAGCGGCGCTTTCCAGGAGCCATCTGATGAGGCAGCCAGTTGTCAGTGATAACGTTGATGATGATGGTGACGAGAGTACGATGCCTCGTGCACATGCCGCTTCTCTCTCGGTATTTTTTAGATGACAGGCGCAAAATGATTGGAGAAGAGCTCTTTTAGCGTATTGTAAAGGATTAATCAACACCTTCGATGACAAAGAAGTTTTTTCTGCCCAGTTTATGTATTTTACTGCCTAAACCCACATTTTATCCTGACACGAAGAGAATCGATCTCCAAGTTTGTCCATGTTTACGTAAATATTTTTTTTCATTTTGTAGTTAGATTAATTTTCACAGATTACCGTTATGCTTTATCTTAATTATTTTAAGCTTGTTAATACGATACCAACTTCATCGCACCTATTATTAATTGATATATAATTATACAACTGCGGAGGGTGGGCAGGGGTGTTGGGTTAATCAAAAGCATAGTATGCAAAAGTAGCACAAGCAAGAACAGCTTTATTGATGGTAATTTATTACACCTGTTTGTTTCAAAGACGATATTACACGCATCATAATGTAGCTGATCATCTAGAAACTGACATTTCAGCCTAGCAACGTTTAAGCATGTTTGGTCACCTCATTTTTTTTTCGAAAATACCTATGTATAAATGCTAAAATCAGAAGATTCAAAATCCACCCCAATCCTTTGCTAAAAACACATCATGCAAGACCCCAAACTCTCTCTTCATCCATGGTACGGGAAGTAAAAACTCACAATAATGTGTAAAATAACAAAATGTTTCTGTTAGGAGGCTTGTATTAGTTTTATTTTTATGTTTTCAGCGTTTAAAATGCAAGTCTGCCGGAGTTTGTTATTGGTTTTGTTTGTTTTATTTTTGTTTAATTTTTTTTTATCTTTGTTGTTTTTATATGCATATGTTGTTTTGTGTGTGGGTATGCACGTGTGTTTTTTATTTATTGTCAAATCGACAATTGCACTTCAGTCATATGGGCACAGAGAAACTTGCGTACAAAATATATATGAATATATTATAGCATCATAAATACCTCAGTTCACTGTTTGCAGGCACTTCAAATTAAATGAAGAATATAAAAGAAAAACTAGTTCCCCTACAACCTTTAACCGTTTAGAATATTTGTCCCTCAGGATAACTCTGTCTGGATAAACGAGGTTCCGCTTCTTTAGAAATCACTGTGACTTTAAGCAAATTGCCGGAATGAATAGAAATTATAATATTATTATTGTTTACAAGTTGTCACAACGTACAATTATCAGTTCCCTCTCCTAACTACGAACAACAGAAATGTTCATGTTTGGGGACAAACATATTTTAGAGTAAGTTCAACTCCGCATGCTTAGCAATCACTCGTCACACCAGACCACAGACGACTTAAAGTTAATTTCACCATGTCAGCAAAGGATTTTGTACAACTCCGACAATAACGCCATTCAGTTTACTGTATCTGTATTTTCTACGAAGCAAGCAGCGCGCGATATCACGCTGTAGGTACAAGACGACAAAAATAAGATCACAGAGAAACCACAACGATAGTCACAATAAAAGGGCTTTGGGAAATGTGAAGTGGCGATATCTTTTCGTGTTCTTGCAAAACGTCCCATTCATCTCAAATCCCTGTATCGTTGGCGACTGAGAACGCCGACAGCTTGCAGGGGACATTACACAG